TCAAAAAAGGAGTTCGTATGAACGAGTTATAATTTTTAATAGCATATTTACGTATTAAAATAAAGTATAAATCATATATACGTATACATATATATATACATATGTATATATCATTAGAAAGGTATCGACGATGCGGTCGTTATAAGACTAGTGTTGAGTACTTTCGACATTAGTTTAGTACAAATATCATTAAATCTATTTAAAATAGTATTATAAAGGGTGTTTAGTCGTTTATATAAATATAAGGTCATTAAGTAACTATGGAGGGTAGTTTTTGAAAATTCAATCACTATTAATAAGAGCCTCTAGCTCTCATATTTCTTACACCATTCTCTTGATTCAAGAGTCTTTCTCTTCTTATCCCCCGAGCATTTCGGTCCCTCGTGATTCAACTTCTCTTTCTGTAGTTTTTAGTAACTAAGGTGAGCGCTGAAGCGCTGCAAGAATCTTTCTTAGAAAGATTCAACGACGAAGTTCTGCCCCTGCAGAGCCCGACTCCTAGCTAAGTAAATTATGCTACCCTACTTTAAATATAGCTTATAATATCATTATTATGAACCTATAAATAAAAATTATCAGTGATTCAAAGTCGTTATACTGATTGAACTACTTACGGGAGAGGTGTCTAGAATGGTCACGTTTGGTTTGGTTGTTGGATTTCAGAAAAGCTATATGCCGAAATGGTCCTGCCTTCCAACTGTCCTGCCTGGCTGATCCTTACTTGATAGATCATGAAGTAGACTCCGAGTTAATAACGAATCTAGACTAATAAGTTGTCGCAATAAATATTAGACTAAAATCTAGTGGTAATAATAATAGGTTTCGTCGAAGGAAATTATATTGTTAAGAAGCGAAGCGCTGTCCGAGTTTGGAATCATCACTTTAACAAGTGAGTGCATAGTTACTTTCATCTTACACATAGATATGAAGTATTTAATATAAATTACGTGCTATGTGTGCATATTATCTGTGTACTTAATATTTTAGGGGTGTTAATTTATGACACGGCACGACAAAAATACACGAAACGAAACGAAATCGGGACGAAATCAAAATTCGAATTCGTGTTCATGTCGTTTTCGTGTCAAGATTAAAAAACGCGATGTCGTGTCGTGTCGTGTTCGTGTTCATAAATCGACACGAAATTGACACGATTAAGCATGTGGTTGTCGTGTTTTTCGTCTTTTTTGTTTTTGTCGTGTTATATATCTTTAATTATGAACGAAATACACTAATAGTTATGTAATATTATCTTTGTCGTGTCGTGTCGTGTTGTCGTGTTTTAATTGGTTTGTTTTCGTGTTAAAGAAAAAAAACACGACATCGTGTCGTGTCGTGTTCGTGTTATACAAAACCTTGTCGTGTCGTGTCGTGTCAGACAAAAACACGACACGACTGCCTGATTTGAAAGCCCTATAATATTTATGATGGATGAACAAAAATATACATGTTTTAATTATTTTAAACTGTATATGTATTTTATACCTATAATTATGATGGGTAAAAGATGGGTAGATGAAATATGAGTTGGATGATGAGATGAGAGGTGATATAGACCATGAGATAAGGGTGAGAGGTGAACAATGAGAGAAGCCTTTTACCCAAGAGTTGGCCCCGTCATCTAGCAGAGTATGGATGACAACCACAGACTATTCAAGACAGCCCAGTGGGACACTAGCAGACTCGCAACCTGTAGGTGTTGTGAACGATGTGTTCACTCGGTGTACTCTAAAAACCCATTAACATGTATTGCGAGTGGACTCTCGAAAATAATACTGTCAATAAACGAGATAAACCCTCACGACTATGCAGACTTAGTGCCTAAACCCTGGTGACTATGGACTTAGTGCCTAAACCCTGGTGACTATGGACTTAGTGCCTATTGGGTAAACCGTGGCGACGATGGACTTCGTTCCGATTCCTTAGGATAATCCTTAGGAAAGAATGAACGAGGAATAGCTGATTCCTAGGGTAAATCCTTAAGAGTAAAGAAGATAATGGGGATGGGTAATTGAGTTAATTGTTTGATGATTAAACATAATAATTATATTATTGTGGGTTGAAAACCCTATGTACTCACCAGGTTTCCCAACCTGACCCACTCAGTTTATTTGTATCACAGGTGTCGATATGAAGTTACATTACACTGAGAGATTAAGGAGACATAAATCATTAGTGATATTGAATATAAGTTCTGTTTATGCTTATGTTTCTGTATTGACGATGACATCCTAATGTTTTAAAATGAATAAAATACATTTCTTTGGAGATGTTTTGATAACGTATTTATCATGTTTTTCTGGGAACAAATTCCGCAACTCCTTTCTTTAAAAGGTTACTCTGATTTTCAAAATAAAGCATAAACAAATTGGTCTTTTCTGGCCGTGAAAATGGGGATGTCACATGCTAGCAATCATGCGGTTGGTGCAGTGTTGGGGAAAAGAAAAGACCTAGTTCCTCTTGTCATTTATTATGTCTCAAAGACACTTGATAGTGCACAAGCCAATTACTCGACAACAGAGAAAGAATTGCTATCTATTTTCTTTGCTTTAGAGAAATTCCGTCAATATTTGTTAGGTTCTAAAGTGATTGTTTATTCAGATCATGCAGCTATTAGATACCTACTTTCAAAGAAGGATTCGAAGCCTAGACTCATTCGATGGGTTTTACTCTTACAAGAATCCGACATTCAACTCAAGGACAAATTTGGAAAGTCAAACCTTGTGGTTGATCATCTTAGTAGGATTATCTCCCCCGATGACTCAACTACCATTCATGATGTATTTCCCGGTGAGAATCTATATTCAACAAAAGTTTCCCCATGGTATGTCGATATTGTGAACTACATCGTCACAAATCAATTTCCATCAGATTTGACTCGATGGCAAAAAGATAAGATCAAGAAAGAAGTCAAGAGGTATGTATGGGATGAGCCATATTTGTGGAAATATTATGCTAATCAAATGATCAGACCATGTGTTGAACAACATGAGGTGTCTTCTATCTTATCATTTTGTCACTCTTATGCTTGTGGAGGGCATTTTGGTCCTCAAAGAACTACAAGAAAAGTATTAGAGAGTGGATTTTACTGGCCAAGTATCTTCCATGACTCTTATGTTTTTTGTGCAAGCTATGATAAGTGTCAAAAAATGGGTTCTTTAAGCTCAAATAATCAAATGCCCCTTAATCCCATTTTGTTTGTGAAATTTTTGATGTTTGGGGCATTGATTTCATGGGACCTTTCCCATCATCTTAGGGTTTTACTTACATTCTTTTGGCTGTGGATTATGTTTCTAAGTGGGTGGAAGCAAAAGCCACCCGTACTAACGATTCAAAAGTTGTGATAGATTTCTTGAAGGCTAACATCATTTCCAGATTTGGTATTCCAAAAGCCTTAATCAGTGATCGTGGTTCACATTTTTGCAATCGTATGCTTGGAAGTGTCTTGAAGAAGTATGGTGTTACTCATAAAGTCTCCACAGCAAACCATCCACAAACAAATGGACAAGCCGAATTAAGCAATCGACAAACCAAGGGTATTTTGGAGAAAACTGTCAATACAAAAAGGAAAGATTCGAGTACCCGTCTTCATGATGCTTTGTGGGCGTACCGCACTGCATTCAAAACTCCAATTGGGATGTCTCCATACCACATTGTTTTTGGAAAGACATGTCGACTACCCGTTGAGTTGGAGCATAGAGCTTATTGGGCGGTCAAGCAATTCAATATGGATTTAAATGAATTGGGAAAGAAGAGAAAGCTTGACATACAAGAGCTTGAGGAGATCCGAAATGAAGCATATGAGAATGAAGTTGTTTACAAAGAAAAGACAAAAGCATACCATGACAAGATGATTTCTCGCAAGGTATTTGAAAAAGGTCAAAAGGTATTACTTTACCACTCTCGTTTCAAATTAATTCCAGGTAAATTAAGGTCCCGTTGGGAGGGACCATTTGTTGTCACTAATGTTTTTGAGCATGGTGCAATAGAAATCACAAGTGAGAAAACCGGGAAGATTTTTAAGGTAAACGGTCATCGTTTAAAGCCTTATTATGAAGGATTTGGAGTCAAAAACGAGGAAGTGGAAGAAGTAGCGGATCCAAAGTACTAAGATTGATAAATACATCGGGTCCATGTCGAGCCACGAACTTTAAACAAGGGCAACTACCTGAGAGGCAACTCGGGGGTATTTTGGTCATTTTTGTAAAATTTTCATATGGACATTTTCTTTCAAGTTTTGTGTTCCAAGGTTCTTAGATTAATTAGGGGAGTCTAAAAAGAATTTTTATGAAGAGCGGAAGTGAGCGGATGCGAAAATTAAAAAAAAATGGTATGTTTCTCAACAAATTACACGGGTCGTGTAATGCATGCCTTTGCAAAACACGACCGTGTAATGCAAAAATAGTATCAGGAAGTCTTCCAAACACGTCTGTGTAATGTTGCCCTCACCATTATATGGGTCGTGTAATGATGTCTGTGTAAAAAAAATTAAAAGAAAAAAAGCGCAATCTTCATTCTTCATTCTTCAAATCGTGACTCCTGGTGTTGTTCCTTTCTCTTCACCGAAAATACATACAAACACCTCAATCTTCGATTAAACCATGGATTTAAGTAAACAAGGTATGGAATTTCAACCCCTTTTTTCTTACTTACACTCAAGCAACTCTAAAACACCATTACAATGGTGGTTTTCGTATTTTTGAAGAACCCTAGAAAATGGGGTCCGAAAATTTTGTTTTAATTTCTTCAAATTGTTTGTAGAATAAGCTTGGGGAGGCATTATGGAAGAAATTACAAGTAATTTAAAGCAACAATTTCGTGTTTCAAGCTACAAATCGGGTATTCTCTTTCCAATTCCTTGACTTTGCATTGTTAGTCATAAAAGTTTAAATCCTTGTGCCTAAACTGTCAAATTGAGTGTCAATTGTGTGTTATTCCTTTGAAGTGGTTGTACATAGTGCTTAAAAGTCAAATTTTTGTGCTTAAATTTAGTTTCTCTCATGGCTTCATCATCTTGTGGAGGTGGTAAAAGGGGTAATTCCAAACGTTCTAGAGTCATTGACTCTAGTGTTAGTCAACGCGGCCCAAATCCTCCACGCCAAAATTCCGGTGAATTGGCATTCTTAGATTCTCAACACGAAGCTAGGTATCATAATTTTCTTCGACGTAGACGCGCAACACAGAAATTTGCGGACATGCCCACTCTTGATTCCTTCCATGTACATGACCAAGTCCGTGTTTTGTTCACAAATATTGGATTGGAAGAGTTGTTGTCATTGCACGATGTTGGTTATGTCTAACCTACTCTTGAATTTCTGTCATCTGTTTCCTTCAATCATCGAACTAAACATCTCTCATTCCGTGCTTTCAGCCGTAATTATCAGTCGTACAAAAATCAATTATGTGAACTCATTGGTGCTCCAATTGCTAACACTTATAGTCCATTTCACATATTTAATTTTCCATTTTAAGAGGATTCGAAAGCTTTTGGGGGGAGAATTTCAGGATTGAACTATACTCCATGCCCTGCCAAAGCATAAAGTATCATTCATCTTGTTCTTAAGGCCACTCATCGCATCCTTGCCTCTGTTGTATTTACACAAAATGAGATAAGAAAGGTTGGCCAAAAAGAATTAGAGCTTATGTGGTGTATGATCCACAACCCAAATCAACTACTCGATTTTGGATTATGGATTATTTTCAAATTGTTGAAGTTATCCCCCAACACTAGTGGTAAATTACTTTGCAGGGGCATGATCACAAGTATTCTCAAACACCCAGCTCTTGCCATTCGTTTTCTACCCGGTCTCAATGTTATTGAGGGAGAAACTCGCCTAAAAACAAACGTCTTTCAAAACATGCATTTGTTCCACATAGATGATGAAACACAAGATGTTTGTTGGGCTGTTGATAGCCGCAACTTCCTCCGTATTGATCATCAAAATACCCAACTTCTTAGTTTGTCCAATCTCGTGTACAACAGTTTTTGGCGCCTTACATCTAATTTAGGTGTCCCGATGACCGAACCTGATTATGATTCTGATGAGAATGAGCCCATTCCTGATGCAACCAAACATGATGTTGTTACGCCAGTGCAGCAAGAGCCTTTCATGCATCCCTATCATGACATGTATATGCAAGAACTCCATAGGTTGCATGAAGACAATAGGTGTTTGCATCGTGACTATTCTGAACTTTATGACAGTGTTTGTGAGATAAATACTGAGATGGTGGAGTTTAGAGAAGAGTTCTACACCTTTATAGGCAATCAACAAGCACGCAACCAACATTTGTATTCCCTTGTGACTGGCATGCATAGGGTAATCTGTTTTGGTGGTCAACCCACACGACCGCCTTATTACCCTTAATATCCACACTACCCTCCACCATACAATCCATAATTTCCACAGCAATATCCTCCACCATTTCCACCTCAAAATCCTCCTCAGTAATCTGTCCCGCTCTCTTCCCAAGAATCGAGGACGATGCACATTTTTTTAGCTTGGGGAGAGGTGTATTATGTGCATTACATTCTAAAATAAAAAAGCTGCATATTCATTCATTGCATTATATATATATATATATATATATATATATATATATATATATATATATATATATATATAAAATAACATAAAAATACAAAAAGATTTTTCCTTCTCATTTAGGTTTTTAGGGTCATTTCATGCATTTTTTTCTCTCCTATTTCTTCTTGTCTTTAGAATGCCTTTAGCTTTTTGTCACAATACACGGTCAAGTTCAAAGTTTTGTCTGCTTATACCTCGTATACATGTGGTGTCACTAAGTTGTGAAACTTTAGAACTATTGAGAACACACTTATTTGCTAATTCACTTAGTGGCGGTTCATTGAGGTGTTTTATGACAAGCAACTCCTCATAAATAATTCGGTCACAGCAGGTGATAATAAAATATAGGGCATTTTTAAAAATACTCGTGAGCACATCATTGTGTGAATTTGTAAGGCATAAGGCAGCTCAAAAGTTCATTTGGTTTTCTACTTTCATTCTTAGTTATACGTTGTTAATCATTTGTATATATGCTTGTTATTGCTTTGTTTTGTATTTAGTCTAGTTTAGATTAATTGACTTTTTGTTGAATTATATATGATCTTCGCTTGGTTCAAAAAGATTGGTTTAAAAAAAAGGATTTATGCAGCTTTTTCAGCATTTATCTTTATGTATTTCAAGGTCAAGTCACTTTTCCAAAAGATAGTTGTTAAAGTTGTTTATCATTTTCATTTTAGTTTTCTAGTTGCAAATATTAGAAGTTTATTCTTATTTTAAACCAATTTGTTTCTCAAAATCAAAACCGCGAAGTCACCAAAATAGCGTATTTCAAAGTCAAACCTTTACAAATGTTTCCATTTATAAAAAGGGTTCTTCAAAAGTCAATTTATCAAGTTTTGTGTTTAAGTTTCATATATTAAAAAAGAAAAAGTTTTAGTTTATGTTTGTTTTTCATTTCTTCCGTAGTAGTTAAGTTGAGTCTTTATACATATTCATGCTGCTTTCTAGTTAAAAAAATCAAAATAAATAAATAAATAATCAAAAAAATTAAAAAAAATAAAGAACTGAACCAAGCCTTTCTAGATTTGTCATGATGATATTTTCACAGGAAATTCATTTGTGTTTAATTTTATTGGCTTGTTTAGCATTGATAGTTTATATTGAGGCCAACAACCATGTTATACGGTTCTATTTTACTTGTTTTGTATATTTGTTGTTGTATATATTTCTTTTGCGCTCTTGTTATGGTCATGGATTTATCTCCTATTATGGATTGTCGAGAGTTGACACGAGTTTTGGAAGAAGATATGAAGATTGTGCAACCGCAATTTATTGAAGAGCATGGAGAGAAGACTAAGAATAATGGGATATACCTTACCGACGCCTGAGTGCCCTCCACTTAAATAACGAGTGTAGATTCTTTGATAGCAGTAAGTTCACACATCTTGTGAAATGAGTGCATACACGAGTTGAGTGCTTCAGTGAGCACGTCCTATAGATTGAGATGCACCTGCCTTGTCAGTAAAAGTTACTAGGAGATGCCTTATACTATGGTTCTATGCATTTAAGCCGAGTGATTGGAAAATCTTTGTGTTCTATGCCTTCTACTATCCTGATTTGGAATGCAGTACATCCGTATATGTATAGGGTATAGGTTGACAACTCTTTAATCATGATTATGTTGTTGGGATAAATAACTTGAGGCATTCTTTCTTTTTATTTCTATGTTTGCATTTACATTTACATTTGCATTCATCTTTTCCAAGGTTGATTCTTGTTTTGTTTTCTTGAGGACAAGAAAAAGTTCAAGCTTGGGAAGATTTGTTAGGTGCATAAATTGCACCATTTCATAGGTTAATTTCATGTTTATTTATAACATTACATTGCATTTTTAGTGTAATTTTCATGCATTTTGCATTTAGGGACATTATCGAGGATCTGTCTACATTTCACTAATTTTTGTGGATGTTTCAGGGTGATTTGAAGAATGGAGCATGCTTAGGATGTTCGAGGGAAGCTCTCGGTGAAGTTTCGAAATTTTCGGAGCTAAATTGAAGTACTGGAAGATTTCAGAAATTGCCTATTTTGTACCATGTTACACGGCCCGCGCTTTCGTAAGGCATACATTACGCGGCCATGTTTTGCAAGCAATTCAGCACATCAGGGCCATTACACAGTCGTGTAACGGCAAGGCATACATTACACGGGCCGTGTAACGAGGTCTGACAGTCTATTTGACTTTCAACTTCCAATAAAAGGAGTTTTTCTAGGGAGTTTGAGGAGAATTTCGACCATAGGCTTCAAGGAGGCGATTTTGGGAGATCACATGACCATTTATCACTTTGGAAACACTTTGATTTGTATTTTGTAAGTTTGTTTGAATATCAAAACATGTTGAATTTGTAGTTTGATTCAGCCATGTGTAGCTAACTTCTCTATCATTTCCGATTCCAAATTCTTAAGTGTTTGTTGTTAGATTGTAATTTGCACTTGATTTCATGTTTATCATCTAGTAATCTTTTATTTGTTCCTAAATATGTGTTTGATTAGTCCTTTTTTCACTTGATCAATGGAATTAGGGTTCTTATCAATCTAGTTAGTCAAATTGTAAAATTCGTATATGTTTTATGATTTGATGTTGGTAACACACACTTGATTGGTTGTAAATAGATCAAAATTAGTGTAATCAAAGATTAGATGTTCATATTCCCGAACTTATGAGGAATGTTGGACATTGTTGGTAATTGTTGCAAGAACTTAATTTCATTTAGTGATTTGATACAAGAGCTTATTTGAATCGAATTAATCAAATGAAGTTTTATTTGATGAAAATATTTTGAATGATACACTTTTGTTAACTTGGATATTAGATCTTATTAATATCTAAATTACCAACCTAGATTGAACATGAATTATAGTCGCACTACATTTTACAACATAACACATGTATAGGAATCATAATTGGAAATGTCCTTCACTTTTTGAATTTTAGTATTAATTGTGTTTGTTTATGAAGTTTAATTTGAAGTCATACACAACCCCCCGTTTTAACATTGATTGTATGATGGGTGAGAACGTGGCTAAATAAGAAGTCTTGTATTCTTGTGGACCGACACTGCTTACTCTATATTATCTTTAGTGTATGTAGTAGCAGTGACTTGTATTTTATTGTTATTATTTTATCCCTTTATTTGTTGGTTTGACCACCAAACAACCATGTGTTACACGACCATCTAGAAAGATTGAGAAACTCACAACTAATATGACTTAAGGTCTTTCAACCGATTAGAGTTGCAAGGTTCTACCCATACCACTACTATGCCCTGCAAAAACAACCATACATCGACATAGACATGTTACTCATAAAACCTTAGCAAGCAATAAGGCATGTAATAAGATTCATCATATTATCAATATATTATAGCATATGACTACCAATTCTTTAAGCATCATAACCGCATGCATTTACAACTAACACATAACATGCATAACACCATATCAGCCGATTCCAAGGCATGACCATACACAAGATGCAAACAACATATTTTCAAGAAATTATCACATGAATTAACTACTTTAGCGTAATCCTAAGTTGCATCGACAATCCACTTATGAGATGTAGTTTTTGGTTATGCAGTAAAGTTACGAAAATAATCGATTCACCTTAGCCTAGGAAAATGGATTACTCATTCCCTTCAATTCGTAATTGTTGGATTAGGTGTCTAAGCCCATAACTATAATTGGTATGTACTTAACCCGATAGTAGCATGGTCCATTTTGGGTTGCATTCACCAAAGCAATTTGATAGGATGGATATTTGAGAAAGAGGTTATTTGTGATTTATTAATATATTATAAGAATAATATATTAATTGAGAAATCATATAATTTAATTGGTATTGATAATTAGGTAAATCAGTGATATTTATAGTTTGCGCTAATGATCCATGTTGATTAGGGGATGGACTAAATCCATGTGAGAGTCCATGGAGAGTTAGTCCAAAAGGCCCATCATCTGGATTATTGGATTGCTTAAAGGTTTAAGTAAATGGATTAGGGTTTACAAGTTAGACCCTAGGAATTCCACATTATAAAAGTAACCCCTAGACTCCCAAAATCGGCACTTGTGATCATAGATGAAACCCTAGCCGAATTTGGAGCTGCATAACCTCTCTCTCAAAGTCATCCTCTTGCTTTTGGTGTTTTGTGAAATATTTGAGGTATCACACTTGAGGTGCTAAGCTCTTGAAAGGCCAAGAACCACAAGCTACAACTAAGAGGTATTCTTCTAACTAGTTTTTATGTTGTATATCTCCAATTGCATGCTAGCTAGGGTGTATGCTTTGGATAATATGAAATTGCATGTATAACTAGAGAAAACTTGGATCCAAAGCTTTAGGGTTGTATGTGCACCATAGGAGTGTTATAGTACATAAAACCCATCAGTGGTATCAGAGTCATGGGTGTTTTCTGTTATATAGATGCATTGGTTAATTGTTCAAAGCTGAAGATAATGGAAATTTGCTTTCTGCCAGGGTGAACTTGACGAGTCCACTGATGAACTCGATGAGTCCATTATCCGACTCGACGAGTTGGACAGTCTGTTGGTAGATTTCGGGTTTTTTGTTTGCCAGGATTGGATTAGGATCATTGCCTTAAACTGTTTTGTATCATAAAATCTGATTTTTCTGATATGGTGGTGATTATCCTCATCAAATTAAAAGATAAATTCTCAAATTATAAAATAATTACTAGATTATATGATAAACTAATTATTTGTATTATTTGATTTGAATTGTCTTGCTATATGATTTGCATTAGGTCAAATTGGTAAAAGATAAA